GGGAACCGGTCTGTATGTGGGATCCGAACCCTCGGCGGGAGCGCCACCATGCTCCCAAGCGGCGCACTGTAGCAGTGCGCCACCGGGCCGGCCCCGACATTGTTGAGTTTCACCTGCAGCTCCTTCAAGATGTCACTGGCCTCGTCATCCAGCTGAAAGGAAGGGGTGTCAGGTCAGGTTAGTCAAGCATCCACATGTACAGGCATTTTCTTATCTGACCAAGGGACAGGGATCCCAAAGGGCTGAAGAGGAAACTGAGGCGCAGAGAGTTAAGCTGCTAGCTTGGGTTTGAAGGAGTGTCTAAGTTGGAACTCATCCCCAAGCCTGTTGGCATGTGAGCTCTAGGGCCTACAGGGACATGGGGGTGGTGGGGACCCCTTCCCTTTTCCAGCCCTGCCTGGGCTCTCCCACACCTCCTTTCCTCCCATGGCTTCAAACATCTTCTCTAGCTGAACTCGCAGCTGCTGAGTGTTGTTCATGAGGATGCAGGGCTGTAGATGGGAACAGAGAGGGGAGTCAGGCCTCAGGACCCCTCCTCAGAGACTACCACCCCACCCCCTGCCAGGGACCTCAGGATAGTTTCAGGGTCTGGGTCTAGAGGAAGCTGGGATCTCACAGGGTCACCTGAGAATGAATGAATGACAGCATTTGGACTCAGGTTCCTGGGAATGTTGGGGAAGGTGGGGGCCTCTGGGGACCGCTGGGGTAAAGAACTCAAGTAATTTCACCCTTGGCCTGGGATGGGCCTGGGGGGATCCACGAGAGGGGCTAGGAACTCTGGGAGTAGCAGGAGGGGGATTCCTTGTCATACGCCCATGTTCTCCTCCATGGGCCCAAAACTTTGCACACTCGCACGTACCCTGAAGGCTTCATTTGTAACCACCAGAAAATGACACACTGAAGGCATATGCTGACATGTGTGCTGACATCTCCAGATGTACGCATACAGCAAGACCCCCCAACAGACATGCAAACTCACACACACAATCACACCATATCCATTCAATACAGTAAAAAAAACAAAAAACAAAAAACACAGCACAGATATGTTGGACACACACTCTGACCAAACACACAAAAACAAGCACACTCAAGCACATACATGATACTCTGTTATCAATCTGGTCACACCACACATAGTTGGACACACATGTAGACCCAGGTGTCAGAACCCTGGGAAGGATGGAGCCCTGGGAGTGCTAAAGGGGGCTGGGGAGGGGGACAGGACAGGACCCCCCGCAGCTCACCACTTTCTCCTTCTCCTTGGAGCAGTAGGAGGCGAAGTCCTTGGAGATGATGTCCGCGTACTGGAGGAGCATGTTACTGATGGTCTGGGGAAGACACTGAGGGTGGGTGAGAGGAGGGGCTTGGGCCAGGGGGGCCCTCAGTCACCAGCTCCCATCAAGAGCCACTGGTGAGATCAGGGATGAACTTGAACATTATTAGCACCTAAAATGGACCATTGGGCTAGGCAAATTGACCTACGATGACCATCAAGACCCATCAGAGGAAGATGATTTTATGTAGACCCAGATCTTTTATAGAGCGACCAGCCATCATATCAGCCCAGCCTCAACCACAAGCATGCCCTGATCTTAAACTGAATTCCAATTCCTACCTGTAATCCCCAATGTCAACCCAGCCTAATGCCAATCCAGTCACACTTCAACCTCAGTGCAATGATCCCAACCCCCAAACTCACCCCAAGGTCCACTCAAATTCTACATAAATCCCAGCATTCACTTCAACCTCAATGCCAAATCAAAACCCAACCCTAATAGTAACTCTAAATCCAACAGCAACCCCAGGCTCAAACTCCAACCTTAACTCCAACAAAATGCCATTGACAATTCCCCTTATGACCTTAATCCCAACCCTGATCTTAACCCCAACATCACCTCCAACCTCAGCCCAAACCCCAACCCCAACCACAACTCCAAACCTCAATCCAAAACTCAATCCCAATTCTAACTTCAACCCAAACTCCAACCCCAACCTCAACCCAAACTCCAGCCTGAACCCCAACCTCAACTCAGGCCCCAACTCAACCCCAATCTCAACCCAGATGCCATCCCCAACCTCTACCCCAACTTTAACCCAAATCCCAACCTCAACCCAAACCCTAACCCCAACCTCAATCCCAAACTCAACCCCAACCCTAAGCCTATCTCCAACTCTGACCTCAACTCCCCAGCCCCGATCCCATCCCCTGTCTCCAACACTACCCACACTCCCGCACCTTGGCAAAGCGCCTCATGTAATGCCCCACGATCTGGGGGTCAGGACACTCGAGTTTCTTGATGATCTCAAAGCTCTGGTTGAGCTGGGAGAAGACGTCCACCACAGAACAGGAGAACAGGGCGTGCTCTGAGGTCTGCTGGAACTGTAGAGGGAAGGAGGCCGGGGGAAGGAGAGAGGTCAGAGCCAGCCAGGCCCTAGGGCCCAACCCTCCCACTCTCCCTGGGCAGAGCCAGAGACCAACTGCCCTGGGGTGAGTAGGACAGAGCGGGAGGTTGACTTAGAGACAACCTCTGGAGTTGGATGCAGAGGCCATGGGGCGGGTGGAGGGTCAGGCTGGATGAACTCACATTCCATAATTGTTGAATGAACAAAAGACCTTAAAAACCGTGAGCGAGACAAAAATGGCAGACACCTATCAGAGACTGTCCTCATCCCAAGGGCAATGTCTATTCCCAAATTGGCTCCCAATAGACCCCAGAGGGAGTGAAGTAACTATGGGCAGACTGGAAGTTCAGTCTTCAATTAGCCTTCTCACCCCATCCTTTTTGTCTCGCTCCAGGGCACCATGCAGGAAATCCCGGGACACCTCTTCATTCTCGTCCAGCCACTGGATGACAAAGGGCTCAAACCACCTGGAATGGAGAGCTGGGGTGGGGCCCTGCCACCTCTTGTCCCCCTCACTGTCTGTTCTGCCTGGTTCTGATCCAGTACTGGGTGGTGCTGGGGCTAGTCCTGCTCTCCCTGGAACCTGCCCTGTGGCCTTGGGTGGCTACTCCCCTGCTCACCTTCCCCGCCCGGCCTCAGTTACTTTGCCCATGAAATGGACTGAGCAGCTGCTACCAGAGCAGGGCGCAGACTTGCAGGAATCCTGGTTCAGATAAACTACCCAAGGGCACATGGGATTACTCTCTGCCATCTTGTTTCCTAGGCAATAGAAGGCTATCTGTCCCACAGTGTTGCTGTGAGCATTGAATGACACAGTACACAGTAGGCCCTCAGTAGTTGGTGGCCACCATCCCATTCTCCAACATGGCCCAGGAGTCAGACATCCCAAGTTCAAATCCCAGCTCCGTCACTTTGTGCAAGTCATCTGGCATCTTTAATCCTCCATTTTGTCATCCACAAAAATTGGAATCATACCAATCCTCCCTCATCTCATAGAATTATCAAAGGATTAGGTGAGAAAAGGCATGTGGGATAGCTCAGCAAGGTTCCTGTTGCCATTATGACTATGAATTTGGGGGGCTGTAGGAGTCCACAGTCCAGTGGCTGAGAATCGGGAACACTGGTTTGAGCCCCACCTGTGCCCCTAACACCCAGGTAACCCTGAGAAGGTCAGCCCTCCTCTCTGGGTCTCCTTCCAGCTGTTGGTGCTAGAGTTCTGTCTTGGGCTGGGCTTGGGGCAGAGTGCTTACGCGGGGTACTCGGGCACACGGTCCTTGAAGGCAGGAAGCTCTGCCACATACTCGTTGTAGAGCCACTTGACCTTGAAGTGGAGGTTCATGTAGTCGGCACTCTTGCAGAGACGATGTTTGTCGTGCTCTGGATAGAGGAGGAAGGGGTGGCTCAGCTGAGAGGCTGCCCACTCTGGTCATCACTGGTGTCTGACTCAGGCATGAGAGTTCAGGGCACTCATGGCCTTGGAAGGGACCCTGAGGCACAGCTACTTGCTGTAGCCAGGCTGGCGGAATGGGGGTGGGGGACTCACCCTCCATGGCATACTTCATGTCTTGTGCAAACAGATTCCACATCACTTCGGCACTGATTTTACCCACATTCAGCTCCTGGGGAAACCTGGCAAAGGTCATAAAAGTATGCGACCTTGGCACATGGAAGCCAGATGGCACAGGCTGCTTTGTCCTTTCCTGCCCCAGAGGGCAGTGTGTGGCCGGGCAGAGGGATCTCGATTTAAGTTCCCTCATAGTCATTGACTTGCTGAATGATTCTGCACTGAGGCTCTGCTTCTCCCTGAGCCTCCACCCACCCCACCCACTCATTCACCCATCTCTCCATCCATTCATTCACCCATTCGTCCATCTAGCCACACATTCATTCACTCAGTCGTCTGTATATATATCCATTCATCCATCCATCCATCTATCCCTCCATCTATCCATCCATCCATCCATCCACTCATCCACCCATCTCTCCATCCATCCATCCATCCGCCCACTCATTCATCTATCCGTGAATCCATTATTCATCCATCCACCTCTTCAATCCATCCATCCAAATCCCTGATCTTAATTCCATATCTAAGTTACCAGCAGATGTTAGTGCCCCAAAGTTAGCACTGTAGCAGTCACCTTAGGGAGAAATAAAACACAATAGCTCATTCAGCTAACACACACGAAAACTCTACAGGCAGAGAACGGTGTTATAACACCAAGGTCAAGGATTCAGGTCCCCATACGTGCCAACAACCCCCAAAATAAAATTCTACACATAAATCCACCTCCTGTGCCTATATTCACACACAATTACCCAATACACAATATTGTATATTGATGTAAATTCCACAATTATACACATATACACAATTAAACCCATAGACCACAACTATACACAAAATTACATATATCCACACATGTTAAATATAATGCAATTTAAATGAAAAACATTTAGAAAAGTAACTAGAACATAGTAAATACTTAAGCAACACTATATATACATATATTTTTTCTTTTTTCTTTTTTTTTTTTTTTTTGGCAGCTGGCTGGTACAAGGATCCAAACCCATGAACTTGCTGTTATAAAGCTGTGCTCTAACCAACTGAGCTAACCCACCAGCCTTAACATTATTGTTATTTATGAAGCTACACACACACACACACACAATTATATACATATGTACACATTGTTATTCACACAAATCAACACACACAAAATACATGTCTGATTACAGCAGCGATTGTGTGCATACACAATTTTATGTTTACGTTGCAAATTATGCCCATAAAAGAATTTCACAGAGGCACAACAAACGGCCATTTGCCCCCACATACACATTTTATGCATAATTAGCCACAGTCACCTTTACACACAAGACACAAAGTTGTGCACACACACACACACACAATTATATACATATGTACACATTGTTATTCACACAAATCAACACACACAAAATACATGTCTGATTACACCAGCGATTGTGTGCATACACAATTTTATGTTTACGTTGCAAATTATGCCCATAAAAGAATTTCACAGAGGCACAACAAATGGCCATTTGCCCCCACATACACATTTTATGCATAATTAGCCACAGTCACCTTTACACACAAGACACAAAGTTGTGCGCCGTCACAAAGTGGAACAGATTCTGCCACCACGGGGGAGAAGGTGTTGTCATGCGGAGTGCAAGGAGGCACGGGGGTCAGAGCTCTCAGGGTGGGGCAGCTTACATCACCTGTCTATTAATTCATTCATTTACTCTTTCATTCATCCATCCACCCACCCAGCCAGCCAGCTCCCCAAATTCATCCATACACTCATCCTTCATTTTAATAATCCAACCACACGTCCATCCAGCACCTACTGTATGCCCAGTGCTAAGCACTTAATTATATTTTATCTAAAGTTTGTATCTCATTAAATCTCCCCAATTGTGAGATATGGGTTGATAACCCCATTTTACAGAAGAAGATACTGAGGCTTGGGAAGGAGCAGAGCTGGGACTTGGGCCAGTTGCTGGATGGCATCCCTTGCTCCCTTCTGTCCCATCTGGGGTCCTCACCGGGTCTGTCTGGTACTCCCGGCTGTAGAGTTCATGACAGTTGTTAAAGATGTACTCGTAAGTTGAGTTGAGGCAGGCTTTCACGCAATCCTTCACCACCTGGCTGGCGCGGGGTGGGCTCTGGAGTTCCTGTACCTGCAGAGAGGGAGACAGGCATGGATGGGCATGGCTGGGACAGGACGTACCCAGGGAGTGGTTACAAGTTGTTCTAGGTTTAAGGAAATGTGGTAGCAGTATCAAGGCAGAAGGTCACCGAGAAAGGTACAATTCTCCAGGAAAAATTGTCACTTTTTCTGGGAGCTGGGAGTCCTGAGAAATCCCCCTTCATGAGCTAATGGGACTGGGTCTCTTCTTCTACCTTCATCCGAAAGAAGGTGATGCTGGTGAGAAGGTCCACGGTGGATTTAAGGTCCTGGAGTCTCTCCGGGCTGCTGGCTGGGAAGTTATTCTGTTGAAAAAAAGAAGAGAGGTGGGGTTGTGTAAGAAGGCTGGGGGAAGATGGGAGACGGTGTTTTAGGTGGGATACAAGAGTCCCCAAATTTCAGGAGGTGGGCTGGGATTTATGAAAGCACCTCAAAGCAACCATGGGTCTGCTTGGATGCACCAAGCACATTGGGGCAGGTACTGTCCATATATGTGTACACATGTCAGAGGAGCAGATTCCACATGGTAGGATGGACCCTCTCATGCACATGTCTGCTGGCAGCTGTCCCCTCCAAGCACACACACATGCATGGGGGCAAGCAAATCCTCACACATGCACTTCTTACCCGGTACATGGAGAGGTCGATTCGCAGGGAGTTATGCAGCTGGTCCAGGAGTTTCACAAAGCGCTCTTTCTGAGGAGGCAGGGGAGGAGGGAGGATGGATGGAGGTGGAATTTGGTGGCCAACGGAAGCAGCTGAGGATGGCATCATAGTGTTTACTTGGCACTACATGCACCCCACCCACCGCTGAACTGAACCCTCTTTTAACATCCATTTCCACCCTATAGCATCTTACAGAGGGGTAAACTGAGGCTCAGAGAGGGGAAGTGACTGGTGCAAAGTCACATCCAGAATGGGGACCCAGGGGTCACACCAGGTCTGACCAGCACAGTGCTGGGCTCTCCCTCACCCTCCAGCCCCAGTCCCTAGGACTGACCCCAAAGTTGGAGGCGGCAAAGCGGTCGGAGGCAGACACATTGGTGGAGGCGGTGGTGTGTGCATAGTAGGCGTTGATGTTGGCAAGAAGGGTGCTCATGACGGCGGGCACGCCGGGGCACATGTACTTGGAGGAGAGGCAGGCAAAGTGGCTGGCGAGAGGGAGTGGGAGGCACTGGGCCCGGGGTCCAGACAGGATGGGCCGAGTCACCCCCAAGACAACTCCAAGACAGCATCGGTGAGCAGCTTTCCCTCACCCCCAAACCATGGCCTGCCTGACCCTGTCCTCCGAGTTTCTCTGCATCTCTTCTCTGGCCCCACCTTTCTACTCATTGTTATCCCATCTGCTTCTAACTCTGGCTCTCTCGTCCCTGTTACTCCAGCTGTCAACAACAGTACTCAGCCAATCTCCACAGGAATTCCACACCGCACCCCATGTCCACCCCAGCCTGCAGCCTCACGTCATGGCTTGGTAGATGGACTCGACGCCGTAGCGCATGGCAAACTCGTCCACAATTTCCTGAGCTGTCTCATCATAGTAAACCTTCCAGGCGTCATCGCCCTTGGCATCCGGGATCTTCACGACTCCGTTGTTCTGCACGTCCGTCACAAAGTGGAACAGATTCTGCCACCACGGGGGAGAAGGTGTTGTCATGCGGAGTGCAAGGAGGCACGGGGGTCAGAGCTCTCAGGGTGGGGCAGCTTACATCACCTGTCTATTAATTCATTCATTTACTCTTTCATTCATCCATCCACCCACCCAGCCAGCCAGCTCCCCAAATTCATCCATACACTCATCCTTCATTTTAATAATCCAACCACACGTCCATCCATCCATCCCATATATCCACCCACAACTTAACCTGTCTATCCAATAATTCATCCTTCTACACAACCATCCATCAACTTATTTATCCATCTTCCCATCCATCCACCCATCCATCATCTGTCTGTCCACCCATAAACTCACCCATACATCTATCCAACTACTCCAAAATTAATGCACATGCTCATCCACACTTCCAGTAGTTCAACCACACATTCATCTGTCCATCCACCCACAAACCCATCCATCCATCCATCCATCCACCCACTCACTCAGCCATGCACCTACCCAAACATTCACCTGTCTACTCATCCTTTCTTCGAATAATTCAACCACACACCCATCCATCCCATCCATCTACCCGCAACTTAATTTAACCACCCAACAATTCATCCATCCACCCATCAATTTACCCATCCATCCCTCATCCATCTTTCTACCCATCTACCCACCTATCCATCTACCCAACAACCCCATATCCACCCATCCACTCATCGATACTTCCAATAGTTCAACCACACATCCATCCATCTGTCCACCTACCCGTTGTCCATCTATTTAGGCATCTGCCCACCAACTCATCTATCTGTCCATCCATGCACTCACCCATCCCTCCATCCAACTTTTTATCTACTGATCACTCATTCATCCACTCAATCATTCATGCATTCATTCAACAAACTAAGTTCTTAGTTTGGGGGGATAGAGTGCTCTCCAGGAGCCTCCAGGCAGCTGGAAGAGACAGACCCATACATCAACAGCCCAGCCCTGAGTGTTCAGGGCTGGGGCAGAAGGAAGGACCTGGAGATGAGTAGTGAGAGTCAGAGTGGAGGTCAGGGAGGGCCTCCCAGAGGAGAGGGCCCTGAAGATGGACCTTGATGGATGGGGAGGAATTTTCCAGGTATAGGGAATGGCAAGTAGAGGTGGTCTAAGAGGTCACAGTGAGCTTCGAAGTCCAGGCCAAACAGTGGCCCTCACCTCATGCAGGCACGTGTACTGGACGTGGTAGGGGGCCACCTTCTCCTCGCCTTTGATCTCTACGCTGATGTGTAATCGGATGGCACCTGACACTGCAGATTTGTCGGTTCGCTTGTCTGCATGGCAGAAAGGACGGCAGTGTCAGAACTTCCCACTGAAAATAACCCCGGGCTATTTTATTGTATGCACGTCTCTGTGACCCTCCCAGACTCCCTGAAATTAAGGCCCAGCTGTCTTTCTCCAGACTGGCTCACTAGGCTTGTGTTTCCCTTCTCAGACTAGAATTCCTTAGGCCCTGGCTCTCCCTTCCAACTAGGATCTCAGAACTTGCTCCTTCACTCACATTATTCCTGTGTCTGTGTCTCCCTCCTTAGACGAGCAGCTCCAGGCCCTACTTCTCTCCCAGACTGACCTTCCAGCCCTGCCTTCTCCAGCAGATCACACTCCTCAGACTCTACCCATTCTCTCAGACAGCCTTCCTGGCTTTGACCCTCTCTCCTCAGAACAGGATGCCCAGGTCTTGCTGCCTGCCTCCCCCATCGGACTGGGATATCTAGATTTCCCTCAACCAATCTAAGAGGTTCCTGGGCTCTGCTCACCCCTCTCAGACTGGCCTCTTACTATCCCTCCACACTGGACTCACACACCCTGCCTCCCCCATCAGGCTGGGCTCCCCTGATTCCACTCATTTTCTTTTTTTCCATATCCTACTGGTTCTTTCTCACTGGAGAATGCTGACTAATGCGGTCACTATTGTTTACAGGAGAACCCACTTAAAATTAATTTCACCATCTCATGATCATGGAGAGAGGTGTACACTGAGCAGATGGAAAACAGAAGAGAAGTGTACCCACCTGAAAAAGATCATCTACAAAACTCCTACTGCCCACGTCACATATAACGGTGAAAGATGGACTGTCCTGCACCTCATATCAGTGGCAAGACAAGGATGCCCCTCCCTCCACCTCGAGTCAACATCAAACTGAAGGTTCTAGCCAGTGCAATAAGGCAAGAAAAAAAAAAGGTATATAGATTTTTTTTTCCTTTTTGTCTTTTTTCGTGTCCGGCAACGGATCGCAACCCTCAGTGTTGTGCCCGCACCGGACCGGGACCGGCAACGGGATCGCAACCCTTGGCGCTGCGCCCGCACCTCGCTCAGCCAGTGAGCGGGAACCGGTCTGTATGTGGGATCCGAACCCTCGGCGGGAGCGCCACCGCACTCCCAAGCGGCGCACTGTAGCAGTGCGCCACCGGGCCAGCCCCTCACTCATTTTCTTAGACAGGGTTCTTGGGTCTGTAGCGCCCCTCTCAGATTAGGATTCCCAAAGAATACCTCTTTCCTTAGACTGGATTCTCAAAGCTCAATCTTCCTGCTTAGATTGGGTTCCTGATCTGTGCCTCTCTCCTCAGAGCAGGATTCCCAGGTCTGGGTTTCTGCCTCCCCCATGAGACTGGGAGATGGAGATTCTGTTCCTCCACTGCCCCCCAAAACCAAACCCAAACTAAGAGGCTCCTGGGCTCCACTCATGCTGTTAACCTGAATGTTGCCTGCTCGCATCAGATTAGGTTCCTTGACCAAATTGCTCCTGACACTGTGCCTCTCCCCTCCCTCTGGGGTCCCCACTCTGGCTGGCTCCCTGCCCCCCCACCCCCCCAGCAAGCCTTGCCCTCCGCAGCCCCCTCTCTCACCCAGGTTGTACCACACGTCCATCTCGCCGCTGAGCGTCCGCACCTCGATGATCGTCTGCCCCAGGAAGTCGTCAGATTCCCTCTTGAACCTCTGCTTCACGCGGGATTTGATGTCATCGTCCTCATCCCAGACACGCACCTTGATGCGGTCAGACGAGTTGTGACATTCACTGTGGGGGGAGTAGGAGGCAGGGCTGGGGTCATGTGGCCAGCATGGGGCCGGTCTTGGAGCCCTCCTTTGGCTGCCCCAGTGGGGAGCCCTGTTGGGGGTCAGGGGCCCAGACAGGCACTTACAAGTGGAAATTCTCTTCCCACACGGGATTGAGGTTCCCGTAGATGGTTTTCGTGCGTTTCTTGGTCTTCCCGACCTGGACTGTGACGTAAGGGTCACTGGATCCTGTCTTGTCCTTTGCCTGCAAGCCCTGGGCACAGACCACTGGAAGACACACAGGACAAACACAGTGGTGCACTCAAGGAGCGAGGCATGCCAAGAGCAGTCACAGCCACATGCTCCAGGCTGCTTACTGGAGACAACTGCAACATGGCCTGAGTACAACGACAGGGCACGGTGGACTTGCTAGAGAGTTAACAAGGATGGAGCCCTCAGCCGATGAAGGATGGGAAAGTACCCCAGCCCCTGGGGGGACACTCTCAGGTGTGAGCTCTACGCTGTTGCCCTGCGGTACCCAGAGGTGCTGAGCACCTGCTCATCAGGCTTCCTTCCCTGCCTCACATCCCCACCCTGCACGGGGGCTTTCTGGGGTCACTTCTGGGGTTACCCACGTGCTCAGGTCTGTCTAATCCAAAAAACGTTGGGCGTAGATAAACACCCCTTTGCCCTCACCCCTGCGTGGGACCACTCTAAAGTGCCTACTTAAAATGGCCCCCAGTGGTCCCAGGTGGGTCTGAGTCCCAGTCACCCACAGCATTGCCTGCACATTGGCATCCTCTTCAGGGCTCCTCAGGTCCCCATCCCTCAAAATGGCCCCCAGTGGTCCCAGGTGGGTCTGAGTCCCAGTCACCCACAGCATTGCCTGCACGTTGGCATCCTCTTCAGGGCTCCTCAGGTCCCCATCCCTCGCCAGGGCTTTCTGGGGTCACCTCCCAGATAAACCATGTGCCCTCAACTCCTCTTCTTGGGGTCTCGTTCTGGGTGACACCAACCATGACACACCCAGAAAGAGTGTCGTGCACAAATGTTTCTAGGCATACATGCCCACGCATGAGCGCGCACACACGTGGACACGGACAGACACGGACGCACTCAAGTACCCGCAGGAAAAGGGAGGGACGGGGCCTGAGACGGAGCACAGGGAGCTGAGGAGGGCCCGTGGCCGCCCGCTGCGCTCACCGGTGATGCTGATCTTGGCCGACCACTTGGACGTGCCGTCCAGCACGCTCTGCTTGACGGCCTTCATCTGCTGCGTGTGCGCCGTCCTGGTCACAGCGAAGATCTCCTGGATGAGCTCGAAGATCTCGGGCTTGTTGCGCTCCCGGATCTTCATGCGGTCTTTGAGCACCATGATGATGTTCTGCGTCCGGTCCTCGGCCCCGTGCTTGGAGCTCTTCTCCGCAGCCCCTGCGGAGGCCCAATGGCCGTCACTGGCCAGGCGCGCTGCCCCGAGGCTCCACACAGGCGCCA